GGTGACAGCAGTGAGAGACGGGAGTGGGGTGACAGCAGTGAGAGACGAGAGTGGGGTGACAGCAGTGATAGGCTGGAGTGGGATGGTAGTAGTGATAGGTTGGAGTGGGGCGACAACAGTGAGAGACAGGTGTGGGGAGACAGCAGTGAGAGATGGGAGTGGGATGACAACAGTGAGAGACGGGAGTGGGGTGACGCCAGTGATAGGTTAGAGTGGGGTGACAGCAGTGAGAAAGTGGAATGGGGTGACAACCATGAGAGGGTGGAATGGGGAGACAGGAACTCAAGGATGGAGTGGAGCGACAGTCATAAGAGGGTGGAGTGGGGAGACAGTCATGAGAGGGTGGAGCGGGAAAGGGCTGAGAGTAAAGCAAGAGGGTGGACAAAATATGAAAACATGGGAAGCGCAGAGTGGGAAAACTATGCAAACAGAGATGGAACAGAGCGGAAAAATTATCTGAGGTATAATCCAGAAGATAGGAGGGAGCCTAAAATAAATGATGTAGAAATGAATTCTGAGGAGCTTCGAGAGGAAAGTGCTATTCCATTTCTGGGAAATGATTCAGAACTTGAAGCTCTGTTGGACAAGTCTGAAACGAATGATGATGGAAGCATTCTAAAGCATGAGCAGGATGGATCGAAGGATGAAATGAAAGAAACCGGTACTCAAGTTGATACAAAAATAAATCTACAAGAGACAGTGTTGGAGAAGGTAAACAATACTGAGCTGTTTTCTTCATATTTTTGAGGGTTCCTACTCCATCGTCAACTATTGTTCATTTTTTTGAGTGCAAGAGGTTATTGCTATGAAAGCTGAAGACAAAAGTTCCATGGAACATAAGATGTAAATAGTTATTTGCCTGAACATTTAATATGAAGTACTTATTTATAAATCAGCAAAAGTAACCAAAAGGAGTTAAAAGCAGATACTTTGCAATGATTTGACTTGTTGGCAAGACACTTGTAACACTTAACTTAAAGTTTTAATGATCTTTTTAACAACAATTCTACTCACCAACATATTTGGGATTAAGTTCCTCTATTTTGACCTAATAACTGGAATGAAACTGGTCTTAAGCTCCTGTTCCTTGAAAATTGCCTTTAACTGTGGGTATTCTTAACTGAGTAGCTGTGTCTACCGTTGCAATAATACAATATACAACTGCTGGAGTGTATAAAAGACTGACCTACAAAACCTAACAATTATGTTTAATTGGGCCAAAGAAGGAGAATTGTGTTTAGTGTCACGTACTTTTCCTTGGTCTTAATTTTTAATATTTTGGTGGTTTAGAGCTTTAGGACCATGAAAACGTTACAGCACAGAAAGGAGGCATTCGGAATAAACTAGCCGCCCATTCTAATCCCACTTTCTAGCACCAGGTCTGTAGCCTTTCAACTTATAGCACATCAGATGCTGATCTGGCTTCCTTATAAATGAGTTTATGGTTTTCAGCTCAACCGCCAACCTGGGCAGCAAATTTCAGACACCCATCACCCTAGGAGCAAAAACAATTTTGCTCATGACCCCTATTGATCTTTCTACCAATCACTTTAAATCTGTCTCTGCTGACCTGGGAATTGACCTGTCTGATTGGTGAAACACGTCTTTCCTGTGTGCTCTATCTAGCCCCTCATTATTTTGTGCACCTTAATTAAGTCATCACTCATCCTAAGGAAAACCCAAGCCCATCCAGTCCTTCCTCACAACTGCAATTTTCACGCCGTGGCAACATTCTTATAAATCTCCTCTATAAATTCTTTAGAACAATTATGTCCTTCCTGTAATGTAACTGGAACTGTACACAGAGCTTTAGCTGTAGCCTAATCAGTGTCTTTTCTAGTCCCAGAATTACATTGCTGCTTTTGTATTCAATACCATGCCCAATGAAGGAATATATCTCATGTGGTTTCTTTCCCGCTTTAATGACTTGTCCTGCCACCTTAAGGGGCATGTTGACATCCTCTCCCAGGTCTCTAACTTCCCCAACCCCTCTTGATATCTTCCTGTTTATTATGCCTGCACTGTTAGCCCTCCCCAAATGCATAAACTCCAACTTCTCTGGATTGAATTTCATTTGCCCCATCCACTCACTCAACCAAGCCATTGTTATCATCCTGCAGTCGATATCTTGCTTCTTCAGTGTCAATTGCCTAGCCAGGTTTTGTGTCATCTGCAAATTTTCCAATTGTACCTCCCATGTTTAAATCTAAGTCATGAATATATATAGGAAACAGCAAGGGACTCAACACTGGGGAGGAAATGGCCTAGTGGTATTATCGTTGGACTGTTAATCCAGAGATCCCGATATTGTTCTGGGGACCTGGATTTGAATCCTGCCAAGGCAGATGGTGGAATTTGAATTCAATAAATATCTGGAATTAAGACTCTAATGATGACCGTGAATCTATTGCCAATTGTTGGAAAACCCATCCGGTTCACTAATGTCCTTTAGGGAAGGAAACCGCCATCCTTACCTGGTTTGACCTATATGTGACTCCAAACCCACAACAATGTGGTTGACTTTTAACTGCCCTCTGGGCAATAAATGCTGCCTAGCCAGCAACGCCCTCATCCCGTGAATGAATAAAAAATAACACTGAGACCTGTGGAATACCCGTTGGAAATTGCTTTCCATTGAAAAAAAAATTCATCAACTTTTACCCTTTGCTTCATTGAGCCAATGATCAGACTGACCACATTTTCATGAATGCCATGGGGGTTTTTATGTTTCTTTCTGACCAGCCAGTCATGTGGGACTTTGTTAAATGCTTTACCAAAATCCATTTAGACATTAACCACAGAGCTATCCTCATCAATCCTCCTTGATATTCTCTCAAAAAAGTTCAATTAAGTTAATGTCAGAACTTTTCCTTAACAAAAACAAGCTATCCTTGATTAATCTATGCCTTTCCAAGTGACAGCCGATCTTGTCTCTCAGTATTGATTCTAGTAAATTGACCGCCACTAGGGTAACAATGACCAGTCTACGTTTAAATAACGGTTACATGATCATAGACCTCCAGGCTTCTGCAACCTTGCCTGCATCAAGTGAAGATTGGCAAATGATCCTCAAAACATCTGTTATTTCCCCTCTGGTTGAGTAAAAGACAAGAACCACATTCTCCACCAATGCAGAAAGCCAACGTCGAAGCAGCCAAATCTTGGGCACTTGGGCTCCCTGGCCAGACCAACATGCCGCCAAAGATGCTGCAGAAGCATACCACTATGCCAGGTCTTTGGAATCCCAGGCCGGAAGACATAGAACATAGAACAGTACTGCACAGTACAGGCCCTTCGGCTCACGATGTTGTGCCGACCTATTATCTTACTAAGATCAATCTACCCTGCATACCCTACATTTTACTATCCTCCATGTGCCTATCCAAGAGTTGCTTAAAAGTCTCTAAATTATCTGACTCCACTACCATTGCCGGCAGCGCATTGCACACGCCCACCACTCTCTGTGTGAAGAACCTACCTCTGACATCTCCCCTATACCTTCCTCCAATCACCTTAAAATTATGCCCCCTTGTGATAGTAATTTCCGCCCTGGGAAATTGTCTCTGGCTATCCACTCTATCTATGTCTCTCATCGTCTTGTACACCTCTATCAAGTCACCTGTCATCCTTCTTCACTCCAATGAGAAAAGCCCTAGCTCCTTCAACCTTTCCTCATAAGACCTTCCCTCCAGTCCAGGCAGCAACCTGGTAAATCTCCTCTGCATCCTCTCTCAAGCTTCCACATCCTTCCTATAATGAGGTGACCAGAACTGAACACAATATTCCAAGTGTGGTCTAATCAGGATTTTGAGAACTGCAGCATAACCTCGCGGCTCTTAAACTCAATTCCCCTGCCAATGAAAGCCAACACACCGTACGCCTTCTTAACAACCCTATCAACTTGGGTAGCAACTTTGAGGGATCTGTGGACGTGAGCCCCAAGATCCCTCTGTTCCTCCACACTGCCTGTATTCTGCATTCAAATTCGACCTTCTAAAATGAATCACTTCACACTTCTCCGGGTTGAACTCCATGTGCCACTTCTTTGTCCAGCTCTGCATCTTGTCAATGTCCCGTTGCAACCTACAACAGCCCTCCACACTATCCACAGCTCCACCAACCTTCGTGTCATCGGCAAACTTACTAACCCACCTTCCACTTCCTCATCCAAGTCATTTATAAAGATCACAAAGAACAGAGGTCCCAGAACAGATCCATGCGGAACACCACTGGTGACCGAGCTACAAGCTGAATACTTTCCATCTACTGCCACCCTCTGTCTTCTATTGGACAGCCAGTTTTGCATCCAGACAACCAAATTTCCCTGAATCCCATGCCTCCTAACTTTCTGAATGAGCCTACCATGGGGAACCTCATCAAATGCCTTGCTAAAATCCATATACACCACATCCACTGCTCAACCTTTGTCAATGTATTTTGTCACATCCTCAAAGAATTCAGTAAGGCTTGTGAGGCATGACCTGCCCCTCTCAAAACCATGCTGACTATTTCTAATCAAATTGTACTTTTCCAAATAATCATAAATATTATCTCTCAGAATCCTGTCCAAAAATTTGCCCACTACAGATGTAAGACTGACTGATCTGTAATTTCCAGGATTATCCCTATTCCCTTTCTTGAACAATGGAATAACATTTGCTACCCTCCAATCATCTGGTACTATTCCAGTGAACAGTGAGGACATAAAGATCATTGCCAAAGGTGCAGCAATCTCTTCCCTAGCTTCCCGTAGTAACCTTGGGTATATCCCGTCTGGCCCAGGGGACTTATGTCCTCATGTTTTTCAAAATTTCTAGCACATCTTCCTTCCTAACATCAACCTGTTCGAGCATATCAGTCTGTTTCACGCTGTCCTCACAAACGTCAAGGTCCCTCTCACTGGTGAATACCAAAACAAAGTATTCATTACTCCGACTCCGCGCACAAGTTCCCTCCACTATCGGCTGTACCCTCTCTCTGGCCATCCTCTTGTTCCCCACATAAGTATAGATTGCCTTGGGGTTTTTCTTAATCCTACCTGCCAAGGTTTTTTCATACCCCCTTCTAGCTCTCCTAAGTCCATTCTTCAGTTCCTTCCTGGCTACCTTGGAGCCCTCTAGCGGCCTGTCCAATCCTTGCTGCCTCAATCTTAAGTAAGCTTCCTTCTTTCTCTTGACTAGATGTTCCACATGTCTTGTCATCCAGGGTTCCTTCACCTTACCATCCCTTCCTTGCCAACGTGGGACAAACCTATTCAGTACTCGTAGCAAGTGCTCCCTAAACAACCTCCGCATTTCTGTCGTCCATTTCCCTGAGAACATCTGATCCCAATTTATGCTCCGTAGTTCTTGCCTAATAGCATTGTAATTCCCCCTCCCCCAATTAAATACTTTCCAATACCGTCTGCTCCTATCCTTCTCCATGACCATAGTAAAGGTCAGGGAGTTGTGATCGCTATCACCGAATATATTGAGGGATTTTGAACTATCATCCTTGCCCCTCTTTAAGCCAAATTTCTGTTATAGAAACGCCATCATGCTGTGTGTCTTTCCCCTCAGTCTGGCAGCTTTACTTGCTATACTCCTTCTCTATATGTATATACCTTTTACTACTGTCAAATTCTTGTGCTGTACAGTTTTTAACTACTGTTTCCTCTGTTTTTGAGAGTCACTCACTTCATTTCTTCCTCCCAGTCCTGCTTTGGATTTACCCCCAGCTTCCCAAACCCTTGCCAATCTCGATAAAACCCTCCCCAAAGGTATTAGTGACTCTTCCTCCAAGAATATTTCTTCCAAACATGTTCAGGTGTAGACCATCAGCAGGTCCCACCTTTCTCAAAAGGGCTCTTGTGTTGCAGTTGTAGTGTCCCTGCCTCTGCACTGGAAGGCCTGGGTTCAAGTCCACCCTGCTGCAAGTATGCATTGTAATATATCTGAACTGGTTGATTAAAAGATATCCCACCTTTCTCAATGCTGGTCCCAGTGCCCCAGAAATTTGATGCTCACCCTCCTATACAGGTTTTCCAACCACTTGTTCTATTGCTTGATTTTCCTAATTCTATGCTGACTAGTGTGTGGGACTAGGACTAACCTTGAGACTACTGTTTTCGAAATCCTGCCTTTTGATCTCACACCTAGCTCCCTGAAATCTTTATTTCAATTCCTGTCTAAGTCTTTGGCACTTGCTCTGACTGGTCACCCTTCCCCAGATGAATATCTTACAGCAGCTCCCTAACATGCTTTACCCTGTCACCAGGGAGGCAACATACTGTCATAGAGTCATATTGCCAGCCACAGAAAAGTCTGCTGATTCCCTGGCTATGGAATCCCCTGGCTATGGAATCCCCT